GAACAGAACAAGAACAGAACAAGAACAGAACAAGAACAGAACAAGAACAGAACAAGAACAGAACAGAACAGAACAAGAACAGAACAGAACAGAACAAGAACAGAACAGAACAGAACAAGAACAAACAGAACAAGAACAAGACAGAACTAGAACAGAACTAGAATAGAACTAGAACAGAACTAGAACAGAACTAGAATAGAACTGAACTAGAACTGAACTAGAACTGAACTAGAACTGAACTAGAACTGAACTAGAACTGAACTAGAACTGAACTAGAACTGAACTAGAACTGAACTAGAACTGAACTAGAACTGAACTAGAACTGAACTAGAACTGAACTAAAGAACTAGAACTGAACTAGAACTAAACTAGAACTGAACTAGAACTGAACTAGAACTGAACTAGAAACTGAACTAGAACTGAACTAGAACTGAACTAGAACTGAACTAGAACTGAACTAGAACTGAACTAGAACTGAACTAGAACTGAACTAGAACTGAACTAGAACTGAACTAGAACTGAACTAGAACTGAACTAGAACTGAACTAGAACTGAACTAGAACTGAACTAGAACTGAACTAGAACTGAACTAGAACTAGAACTGAACTAGAACTGAACTAGAACTAGAACTGACTAGAACTGGACTAGAACTGAACTAGAACTGAACTAGAACTGGAACTAGAACTGAACTAGAACTGAACTAGAACTGAACTAGAAACTGAACTAGAACTGAACTAGAACTGAACTAGAAGCTGAACTAGAACTGAACTAGAACTGAACTAGAACTGAACTAGAACTGAACTAGAAACTGAACTAGAACTGAACTAGAAATGAACTAGAACTGAACTAGAACTGAACTAGAACTGAACTAGAACTGAACTAGAACTGAACTAGAACTGAACTAGAACTGAACTAGAACTGAACTAGAACTGAACTAGAACTGAACTGAACTAGAACTGAACTAGAACTGAACTAGAACTGAACTAGAACTGAACTAGAACTGAACTAGAACTGAACTAGAACTGAACTAGAACTGAACTAGAACTGAACTAGAACTGAACTAGAACTGAACTAGAACTGAACTAGAACTGAACTAGAACTGAACTAGGAACTGAACTAGAACTGAACTAGAACATACTAGAACTGAACTAGAACTGAACTAGAACTGAACTAGAACTGAACTAAAACTGGACTAGAACTGAACTAGAGCTGATCTATAACTAGGCTTTCACTGTAACCAGAAAGAGATTAAAACGAACTAGAGTTGAAGTAGAACAAAAATTAAAGAAATTAATTCTTTCCCTAAATAATTTCATAAGAATTTTAAATGTCTTTCACACCTTAATATTTAAAATTACCTATTTACATAGGCAATTAAAGTATCTGCCTTTTCCGAAATTGCCTCGCCTAAAGGTGTGCTTCACCTTTAGGAAAAACAATTTTGCAATAAGTATGGAAAATGTACTAAAAAATATTGAAAAAATTTGTGTATTTGCTTGAATTTTAGCATTTCATTTTGCACTTTTCTTTCGTTTATTACGCTGCAACTAAAAATTTAACGCCTACACTCTTGATTGATGTATAATTACCCCTAAAGCTATACCCCACATATTGTAGTTTGGAAAATTTCCATAAGATTTTTTGGCCTTTTGTTTTTTCGTTGTATGATGAAATATGTAAAAAGGCCTATTATACAAAACACGCGAGAAATCGAACATCATCATCACAGGCCATCATCAGCCGACAATTTTTTTTTGGTGTGGGACAATTTTATGGTGATTGGCAGAGGGTGATGGGAAGAAAGGAGAAGGGTTTGAAATGTTTAAAGCCAATTGCAAAAAAACTTACATGAATTGATGGCTAAGGCCAATGTTATGTGCGGACTAAATCGTGTTTTGTATTTTGTGGCATCCGTTAGCACCTCTTTTCTGTTATTTTGTTGTTTTTTGGTTGATATTTATATACATATGTATTGCCGTACATGTTCAAACAAATGTATGTAAATAGTTTTGGCCATTTGCAATTGTTGCTGTAATTGTGGCCCAAACTAATGGTTTTATTGGTAAAATATAAATTACTGTGGGATTTTGCTGAGATTTAAGAGGAAAATCAACAAAATTGAAAAATAAATAAAACAAAATGAGTTTTACAAAGGCTTTTAAATTGACCCTGACTAAAATTTTTAACACTTTTTTTTTACCATATTTGGGGTTTAACAGACAATTGATTTTTTATTTACTTTTTTTAAAAATATCGCGTGCTGTTGTAAATTTGTAGTTATTTATTTATAAAGAAAAAGTTTGCTTTTCCACTCTTTTTCTATCATCACCCCAAAAGTAGACAAAGGTTAATTGCTAACATTGGCATTTTTTTTGGCTACCCTATAGGTGTTTTCTTTTTTCGCTTTTCATTGACGTTTTAGAGAGGTGTGAAAATTCCAAAAAAAAAGTTTATGATTATTTTGACTTTCTTACTTTGTACAGCTCTTTTTTTATTATTTTTTTCACACATACACACACGTGTTTGAAAATTTTCCATTTAAAACATAACAACAATTATATTTTATTATCTTTTGGGGATTTAAATAAAATCAATATTGCTAAAATGGCTTTTGTTGGATTGTTTTCCCCTGAAGTTTTATTTTTCCTTTTTTTTATAGATTTTTTATATAGAGATTTTTTATACAGATTTTATGTGTCTGTATGTGCAAAAGCTTAATACTTAATCCTCTGGTGTTGTATTAATGTTTGTTTATTTTATTTAAGATAAAATGTAAAAAATAAATAAATTAAAAATAAATTCGCAAAAAAATCTATAAAAAACCTTTCACCACAACATTGTTTTTTTCAGCACAAAGCTAAATACTAAAATTTGTCTGTTTTTTAAATTCTCTAATAAACACACTGGGCTAGATCAGTTAACAAAAAGCCTTCCTGTTCTTCTAAATATAAACTACGTTTTATTTAATTTTTGTATTTTTATTATGAAAACAAACTAAATATTTATTTTCAGACCTATTACGCCTAAAATCATACTACTGTTTTATAAAGCAAATATGCTTGGGCGCCACAAGAGAAACGTAGCTAAATTCCAGTAAATAATTTAACTAAACTAAGTTTTTTTTTAACAACAACAACATATTTGCTTAAAATTTATTTAGTAAACAAATATCAATGCAACAATAATATTTGTTTAAACTTAAATTCAGTGAAAATTTATTATTTTACTAATAAAATGAATTTAATTTTCTAAATTAAACAAGGAAAAAATAGATAATTTAAGCAAACAAATTAAATTTCAAATAAAACACCTTAATAGAAAAAAATTAAAGTCTCTTTAGTCATAGTACTGGTCTAGTTCTGTTCTGGTGCAGATCAAGTTCAGTTCTAATTCTGTTCTAGTTCAGTTCAGTTTTAAAGCAGTTCTAGATCAGTTCTAGTTCTGTTCTAGATCAGTTCTAGTTCTGTTCCAGTTCTGTTCTAGTTCTGTTCTAGTTCTGTTTAGTTCTGTTCTAGTTCTGTTTCTAGTTCTGTTCTAGTTCTGTTTTCTAGTTCTGTTCTAGTTTCTGTTCTAGTTCTGTTCTAGTTCTGTTCTAGTTCTGTTCTAGTTCTGTTCTAGTTCTGTTCTAGTTCTGTTTAGTTCTGTTCTAGTTCTGTTCTAGTTCTGTTTAGTTCTGTTCTAGTTCTGTTCTAGTTCTGTTCTAGTTCTGTTCTAGTTCTGTTCTAGTTCTGTTCTAGTTCTGTTCTAGTTCTGTTCTAGTTTCTGTTCTAGTTCTGTTCTAGTTCTGTTCTAGTTCTGTTCTAGTTCTGTTCTAGTTCTGTTCTAGTTCTGTTCTAGTTCTGTTCTAGTTCTGTTCTAGTTCTGTTCTAGTTCTGTTCTAGTTCTGTTCTAGTTCTGTTCTAGTTCTGTTCTAGTTCTGTTCTAGTTCTGTTCTAGTTCTGTTCTAGTTCTGTTCTAGTTCTGTTCTAGTTCTGTTCTAGTTCTGTTCTAGTTCTAGTTCTGTTCTAGTTCTGTCTAGTTCTGTTCTAGTCTGTTCTAGTTCTTTTAGTTCTGTTCTAGTTCTGTTCTAGTTCTGTTCTAGTTCTGTTCTAGTCTGCTCTAGTTCTGTTCTAGTTCTGTTCTAGTTCTGTTCTAGTTCTGTTCTAGTTCTGTTCTAGTTCTGTTCTAGTTCTGTTTTAGTTCTGTTCTAGTTCTGTTCTAGTTCTGTTCTAGTTCTGTTCTAGTTCTGTTCTAGTTCTGTTCTAGTTCTGTTCTAGTTCTGTTCTAGTTCTGTTCTAGTTCTGTTCTAGTTCTGTTCTAGTTCTGTTCTAGTTCTGTTTTAGTTTTGTTCTAGTTCTGTTCTAGTTCTGTTCTATTTCTGTTCTAGTTAATAAAATTCTGAAAATTTTATGCGTTTAAAATACATTTAAAAAGCCGTCACTTCCTTTCACTAATTTAATTAATGTCACCGAGGTTTTCCAATTGTTTTCATTTTCATTTGTTATTTTTTTGTTGAATTTCCTAATTTAAAACCAGAAATAATAATAAAAATCTGAACTTAATTAAATTTACAAGAACGTTTTATATTTAAACGTTTTTTGTTTATTTTTATGATGCATTTATAAATTTTGCATAAGTGTAGGGGTTTTTGTCATAAATATTTTTGTGTGGGCAAACACACAATACGCTTGACAATATGCCAACACATATTTCATCACACGCATACATAAACAGGGGGCCCACACGTACACTTTCATACATACATACAAATTTATAAAATTCCTTTTATAAAAAGCAGGGGATTTTGCATAAATTTTAAGCACATTCTGTTGGCTGCACAATCATTTCCCATGAAAAATTTTTCACTCTGTCGCTTTTTAGTAGCTGTTGCATTTATTATACTACCGACCGTATTTATTGCATTTTTAAAGATTTTTTCTTTTGCTCTTGCTAGTGGTTGTTATTTTTTAAATTTTTTTTTTGTATTTTACTTATTGTTTTATTCCCAATGGTACACTTACCTGCACGGAATGATCCAAATTATTGATAATACGTATCACACGTCCGGCGCTACGTTTTATCGAGCCCGATGTGGTTGATAATGTACCCAAATCCGCTTCCATTATTGATGGCTTACGACTGGCAGGTTTTGAGCCCCAGCCCTGATTGCCCGGTGAAGCATACCACATGCCGTTCTTTTTACCGTAACTCGCAGGCTGTTTGTATGTGTATGTGTGGACACAAATGTAAAAATCATTTCAGTTTTTAAAGGATATTTATATAGATGAATTGCAGTTCCATTTGAAGCGATAACAGCAGGAAAGGGAAGAAAAGGAGAGAAGAGAGAAAAATAGGTTGTTATTTGTTAGTAGATAAAAATTGTTACTCAATCAGTAGACGGAAGTTTACAGAATCGTATACAGTCACATATTTATTGAAGGTAAATATGTATGTGTTAATATATTCATATGTTTGAGTTGATATGAGTTTTGGATAAAAACTTATAGTTGAAAAAATTGTTTTAAAAAATTTATATAAAAAAATGCAGTAAGTGGAATATTGCCTACCAATAAAAAATATTTCAATAAATGCATACATTTAAAACAGTTAATACAGTGGGGGAGAAAACAAAGAGAAACGAATGGAATAGAACTAGAACAGAACTAGAATAGAACCAGAATTAGAGCAGAACTAAAACAGAACTGGAACAGAGCTAGGACAGAACTAGAACAGAACTAGAACAGAACTAGAACAGAACTAGAACAGAACTAGAACAGAACTAGAACAGTACTAGAACAGAACTAAAACAGAACAGAACTAAACAGAACAGAACTAGAACAGAACTAGAACAGAACTAGAACAGAAATAGAACAGAAATAGAACAGAACAAGAACAGAACTAAAACAGAACTAGAACAGAAACTAGAACAGAACTATAAAAGAACTAGTACAGAACTAGAAAAGAACTAGAACAGAACTAGAACAGAACTAGAATAGAACTAGACAGAACTAGAACAGAACTAGAACAGAACTAGAAACAGAACTAGAACAGAACTAGAAACAGAACTAGAACAGAACTAGAACAGAACTAGAACAGAACTAGAAAAGAACTAGAACAGAACTAGAACAGAACTAGAACAGAACTAGAACAGAACTAGGACAGAACTAGAACAGAACTAGAACAGAACTAGAACAGAACTAGAACAGAACTAGAACAGAACTAGAACAGAACTAGAACAGAACTAGAACAGAACTAGAACAGAACTAGAACAAACTAGAACAGAACTAGATCAGAACTTGAACAAAACTAGAACAGTAGTAGAACAGAGATTTATTCTGAATTAAAGTTAAAGCATACATTTAGGGTTCCTAATAAAATACCTTTTCGGTGGCATACTGTTAGGAAATTTTTAAACTGTTACAATAACTAATATCACAAATCACTTCTTTTGTCTCTTACTGTTGTAATATTTATATGTATATGTCTGACACATACACAAGTACTTGCTCACACAAATGTTTGTGTGTATATAACTGTTTGTGTTTCCGTACGATTTTTGTTTGTATAAATCTGATTTAATTAAATTCTTTGTAACACAATTTTAACTCTCTTTCGTTCATTCATCTCTTTCACACTCTCTACTGAACTACGAACAGCTGGAGTGGGAAATTGATGTTGTGTATAAATTTTTATGTAGGTTTGTAAGTTTGTGTATGTGTCATCTGTTTATTGTTGTTGTGTTTATTTGATTTAATATCAAAAATTTTTATCATGATTTTTTTATTGATAATATTTTTGTTTGTTGTTTTTTTTGCAGTTGAATCTATTTAATTATTTTGAATGTGTGTTACTAGCATTTTGTTAAATTGTAATTGTTGTTTTTTTTGTAGATATTATTGTTATTATTTTTGTATGTATGTGTGTGTGTATATTGAGGTGATAAAGTGATTGTTTTATAAATCACAATATAATTGAAATTTCATTGATTTATTTAGTTTTTTTTCTTGTGTTAACAGTTAACTACTAAATTTTTAATAACAATTTTTTTTGTCTATTAAATTTTATCTGTTTGTTTGTCGAGAGGCAAATAAATTGAAAATTTTTCAGCAGTTTGTGTTATTGAATTTTTAATTATCCTAAAAATAGACTGTGAAATAAAATTTTTAATTGAAATCATTGCGTGTGCGAAAAAAGTTGTATTTTTTTGCTGGGCTTCAATTAATTAAATAAAATAAATTAACAAATAATAATTGTGGGAATTATTTTTGCCAAGTGTTAAATTAAAATTTGACAGGATAATTTAAAATTTAAATTTAAGCTAAATTAATTTTTTATTAAAAAGTAATTCAACTTTATAAAACCTCTTCAATTAATAAAGATATTGTAAAAAATTGTATATATATGAACTGCAACCATATCAGTTTATAGTTGAGTGGCTATCTGTGTAGTTATTAAGCTCTTAAAAACTTCATATAAATCAGTCACTTTCTCACCCTCTCTCTTTTGCTGCAACGTCATTTTATCTCCTACTTCTTACTTGTACACAAAGTAACAAAATTTAATCAAGGATTTTCATTTTCAGTGATAATAACAACAATCATTGTTAAACAAATACACAGACATACACTCTTACAGATATTTCAACAAAATTTTTTTACAATAACATTGAAACACAATCTGTGGATATTAAACGAAAGCAACAAAAAAAAAAAAAAAAAAAAACAATATAAAAATTTACTGAAATTAAAAATATATGTATGTATGAATGTATACAAAAACAGTTTGAAACTGTATGTGTGTGTGAGTCAACACTCAATACATTTTTACAAATATGTGACATACGTGTCACACATTTTTGTCGCTGGAAGTGCAAAAAAAAAAATCACTCACAATATGTTATTGTCTCTTTTCGGATGCTAAGAGAGCACGTGTTTGTGTGTTCATTTATGTGTGGTGGCTTGAACAAAAATAATTGTTAATTTAATGAGTGAATTATAAAAAAAAAAACGAAAAAAAGATGTCGTAGAAATAAAATAAAAATTTCCAACTGTATTTTTTGAACAATGACGTACTTTTCAAAAGGGGGCCCAATAAATTAATATTCTTTAAGAACTTCTTTAATTATCCTAAAAGTATGCCACAGATTTTTATTCATTTAAGAAACCTATATATAGGCTATAATTATTACTATTGAAATAAAAGATACTTAAAAGTATGCAAGAGAAATGTTCAAATTAAAAGATCTTTTTTAAATTTGATAAGAATTAAGAACGTCTTCTCGTTCTGTTCCTGTTCTATTCTAGTTCCGTTCTGTTCTAGTTCTGTTTCTGGTTCCGTTCTAGTTCTGTTCTAGTTCTGTTCTAGTTCTGTTCTAATTCTGTTCTAGTTCTGTTCTAGTTCTGTTCTAGTTCTGTTCTAGTTCTGTTCTAGTTCTGTTCTAGTTCTAGTTCTAGTTCTATTCTAGTTCTGTTCTAGTTCTGTTATAGTTCTGTTCTAGTTCTGTTCTAGTTCTGTTCTAGTTCTGTTCTAATTCAAGTTCTGTTCTAGTTCTGTTTCTGTTCTAGTTCTGTTCTAGTTCTGTTCTAGTTCTGTTCTAGTTCTAGTTCTGTTCTAGTTCTGTTCTAGTTCTGTTCTAGTTCTGTTCTAGTTCTGTTCTAGTTCTGTTCTAGTTCTGTTCTAGTTCTGTTCTAGTTCTGTTCTAGTTCTTTTCTAGTTCTGTTCTACTTCTGTTATAGTTCTATTTTAGCTGTGGTAAAATTCATGTTAATGGGAATTTGTTGGATTTTTATTAGTTTCCCTCCCTGTTTAAATACTCTGCACACTTTTTTTGTTTCGGAACTGAAATTGAAAAATTACATAAAAGACAGGAAAAACGTATGTGGGTTATAAAAATAAATACAAATGAAAATAAATAATAAAATTTAAATAAGTAAAAATATGTGACAAACAAAAGTAGTAACAAAGACACCCTACTGTGGTAAAATACAAAATTGTCTAAAATATTTTCACGGCTATAGTTAACATTTTGAAAGGTATATTTGTTTTGAGATATAAGAAAAATTTAGTGAATTGTTAGGTGTAGCGTACTTAGGAAATAAAAAAAAAATAGTACCAAACAACAGAATTGATTTCCAAATGAAAATGAAGTTTGGCTATTAATGTATATAGTTACAAACATATTCTATTACAGTGGGAGAGAAATCTGTAAGGAAAAATTGCAAATTGTTGTGAGAATAAGGATATTTTGTAATTTGAAAATATTTTTTTATGACTCAAATGAATAAGATATAATTTGTTGTCATAGTTGATTTTTATTGGCCCACTGTTTAATACCACGTACCCTTATAGTATTTCAACATATAAAAATACTTTTATATGCCCCATATTAAATGAGTAAGTAGTAGTAAATTCAATACATAACCCTCAAAAAACGTACGCACATACATATATATAAAAACATTTTATAAATAAAAATAAATTTAATTTGTAATTTGATTTTATAGAAATTACATTAAAATTACATTCTTCATGTTGATGTCATTCAATTGAAGTCCTTTTTATGTATTACTACGCATACGGGCGTAAAAAACAAACATAAAATCTATAATAATTTTTTTTTTTATTTTCAATTTCACATGACAAATCTGAGTTTTGTAATGAAAAAATAATTGCGAAAAAAAAACCTTCAATTCAATTATTTGTTGTAATAAATTGTATTAAAATTGTTGGGGTTTACCCAAGCAAAAGTTGAATGTAATGTCGAGTAAATGAATGTGTTGGTGTGCGTTTGTATGTGCTTTACAAATTATTTTAATTATTTTATAAATGGTTTGTTATAAATAATATTTTTCATGTTTATTTGTTGTCAGAGAGTGGAAAAAAATAGCAAATAATACAAATAAATTGAAATTGAAATTCATTTGTGAAAATCAAATATAAAGTTAATTAATGTTTTGTTTTAAGCATACAAACAAAATAATGATGATAATTATGATGATGATATTTGTAATTAATGAATTTTAATTGAATATATGAACAAATAACAAATACAATGAACAGGTATAAATTATTTATAATAAGTTTAATATATTTATAAATAGCAGAGATGGGGGTAGTGCACTAAATATTTAGTTAAATCAATATTTCATTGTTCTGTTCTAGTTCTGTTCTGTTCTGTTCTGTTCTAGTTCAGTTCCAGTTGAGTTCAGTTCAAGTTCAGTTCTAGTTCAGTTCTAGTTCAGTTCTAGTTCAGCTCTAGTTCAGTTCTAGTTCAGTTCTAGGTCAGTTCAGTTCTAGTTCAGTTCTAATTCAGTTCTAGTTCAGTTCTAGTTCAGTTCTAGTTCAGTTCTAGTTCAGTTCTAGTTCAGTTCTAGTTCAGTTTCTAGTTCAGTTCTAGTTCAGTTCTAGTTCAGTTCTAGTTCAGTTCTAGTTCAGTTTAGTTCAGTTCTAGTTCAGTTCTAGTTCAGTTCTAGTTCAGTTCTAGTTCACTTCTAGTTCAGTTCTAGTTCAGTTCTAGTTCAGTTCTAGTTCAGTTTCTAGTTCAGTAGTTCAGTTCTAGTTCAGTTCTAGTTCAGTTCTAGTTCAGTTCTAGTTCAGTTCTAGTTCAGTTCTAGTTCAGTTCTAGTTCAGTTCAGTCAGTTCTAGTTCAGTTCTAGTTCAGTTCTAGTTCAGTTCTAGTTCAATTCTTGTACAGTTTTAGTTCAATTCTTGTACTAAACTAGTTGAGTTCTATTTCAGTTCTAGTTCAGTTTTAGTTCAGTTTTAGTTCAGTTCTAGTTCAGTTCTAGTTCAGTTCTAGTTCAGTTCTAGTTCAGTTCTAGTTCAGTTCTAGTTCAGTTCTAGTTCAGTTCTAGTTCAGTTCTAGCTCAGTTCTAGTTCAGTTCTAATTCAGTTCTAGTTCAGTTCTAATTCAGTTCTAGTTCAGTTCTAGTTCAATTCTAGATCAGTTCTAGTTCGGTTGAAGTACATATATAGTTCCAGTTTTTTTTTTTGGTAGAAAATGATTGACTTTTTAATAAAATTTCTGACAAATGTCTGCCACAGCTTGAAATATTTTATTTATAATCATAATATTTTCAAAATATTGCAGGCACTTACCGTTTACAATAATATTAGCTCCTTCATTAATTTCTTCATATTTTCCAACAATTTCTCCAATATACATAAACACTGCCTCAGCATCCACAAACATTTTTCTAGTTTACACAGAAATAAAGAATATTTCCATCATTTATCACCGAAATGACGCCATCTTGGCTTTAAAAGTTTGCCGACAATTTTCTCTACTAAAATGAATACTTTACTATTATATTTTTAGATAATTGTATTCCTTATTTATTTAGCTTCATTTTGATACTAAATTTATTAAAATCACACAAATATTAACTAATTAATTTAAAATTTTAAACAAACAAATTACCATCAAAACGAAATACGTGTTTAACAAACGCGACAATCAAACAAAAACTAAAAAAAGTAAAAAGAAGAATAAAGACAAAACATAAACAAAACATTTTTTAAAACAACAACTACAACTACTCCTAGTCTATGCAAAACAATCACACACACTTCAGTTAAGGCTAAACAAAACAACTTAAACACACGCACTCCATAATGACGTCACGCTCAAAAAAATGTAAACAAATCTATTGTTCTCAGAGAAGTGCATTTTATTAAGCACTCTTTAAGAAAACAATAACAACATTCACCTACTCCCTGCTTCTATTTAAATATGCAAAAAATAAACAAACACACACACTCCATATAATTTAATACAAAGCCGGTTGGTTGTCTTTATTCTTCTTCTTACTTTTTTTAGTTTTTATTTGATTGCCGCGTTTGTTAAACACGTTTTTCGTTTTGGTGCTAATTTGTTTGTTTAAAATTATAAATTAATTAGTTAATAATTGTGTGATTTTAATAAATTTAGTATCAAAATAAAGCTAATTAAATAAGGAATACAATTATCAAAAAATATAATAGTAAAGTGTTCGTTTTACTAGAGAAAAGTGTCGGTAAACTTTTAAAGACAAGATGGCGTCATTTCATTGATAAATGATTGAAAAATTCTTTATTTTTGTGTAAACAAGAAAATTGTTTTTGGATGCAGAGCCAATGTTGTTGTTTTAGGTAACATCATTTAAATTGGAGAAGTTGTTGGAAAATATGAAGAAGCTACTATTGAAAAAGGTAAGTGTTTGAAAATATTTTGAAAATAATGTATTAAGATTATAAATAAAATATTCTGAGCTATGGTAAACAATTTTTAGAAAATATTTATTATTTTAGTTTGCTAACACAATTTTTGTAAAAAGTAAATAATTTTCTATAAAAGATCATGTTTTTTAAAAAGTACGTGGATACATTTTGAAGAAAAATTGTTTGGCAAAAATACAAAGAACAACCGAACTATTGCTTTTCAGTTCTAGTTTAGTTCTGGTTCAGTTCTTATTCAGTTCTAGTTTAGTTCTGGTTCAGTTCTAATTCTGTTCTAGTTCAGTTCTAGTTCTAGTTTAGTTCTGGTTCAGTTCTAATTCAGTTCTAATTTAGTTCTAATTCAGTTCTAGTTTAGTCTGCTTCAGTTCTAGTTCAGTTCCGGTTCAGTTCCTTTTCAATACTAGTTCAGTTTTTGCTTTAGTTCTAGTTCATTTTTAGTTTAGTTCTAGTTTATTTCTGTTTCTGTTCTAGTTCAGTTTTAGTTGATTTCTAGATCAGTTTTTTTAAAAAAACAACTTTGTTCATGTTGTATTTTAAATTTTCTAGGAAATTTAAAATTTTATTATCAAATTTTCTCCCAAAAACATTTTTTGTCCTTTATGTTGGAAAATTTTTGCATATTTTTTGTAAAATACTCCCATTAAAATTAAACTCTGTGATAAAATTTTCCAATTTTGTCTCTATTTCGGCCACAAATATTTCAGACTTTTGTTTTTGTATGTTTAAATATGCTTTGATATTACCTTAAATAAGCCTTAAAATATGCAATGCTATTTTACTTAACTGCAAATATTTGCTTTTTGTAACATAAATGCTTGTCTGTTTGTGTTTAAATATTAAAATCGTAATACCAACAACATATCGATATTTTCAAAAGTAATTTTATTATTATTATACCTCTCTAACTTCCTCTCTTTATCAAAGCCTGAAGTAATGTCATACATTGGAGATTATAAATGTTAAGAGTATAATTGCATACTTTAGGGGGGAGTAAATAAATAGTTTGTGTTGTGTGTAAAGATAAAGATTTAAATGATTTATGAAATGTTTAGTTATGTCTGTACATATTTCGAAAAAGCTTAAAATTTAGTTTTTAAGTTAAAATTTAAAGTAATTGTTAAATTAAAAGTAATTTTTATTAAATTACTTTTAAATCTTTTTTATTTTTTTTTATTATTTTTTTTTTTTTTTTTTTTTGTTAGTTTGTTGAGTTTATTTTTATGTGTTTTAATACTGTTTCAATTTTGTTGTAATTCCGTTTAATTGATTCTAATACTAGTGTCATAAATTTATGATTCTGTATTTAAATTTTTCTATTTTAAATTGTTGTTTTTTTCTATATTTTTTTAAATTTAACTTTTGGTTTATGTATTACAAGGTTAAATTTGTTTGTATTTTTTTTAAATTTTTTTATTTTCATTTTTCCCCATTTCAAGCCAATAAATTATGTTGACAATAATAACTTTAGCAGAAAAAAAGTCATACAAAAGCTTATTAGAGCAGCAGCCTAAGGCTTGTTTATGCCTTTTTTTACAGCAGCAGCAACAATATCATTATAATTTATTGTTTGTTATTTTAAAGCACAAAAATTCTTATAAAAAAGTAATTGTGTTTGTTGCCGACGTTGTTATTTTTTTCTATTTTCTAAAAGGTCATCATGAAAATGAGTAAAACTATTAGGTTTATTGTTTATAGCCCTAAGGTAGACTTTAAATTTTTTAAGAGAAATTTAAGGCAAAAAGAGTACAAGAGAAAGATGTAATGGTAGACAAAGAAACAGAAATTTTAGAAAATATTTAATAAATAATTTAAAAATTAAATTAATTTAAAATTA